GGAGTACGTAAGAAGTGAATTACTCTAAAAATATTATACCAATTTGACGAACACGAAACCCAATACAAACGGTCCACTTCTAGTATACGATCATTTCAGAATGGCCATTAAGCAAAATAAATCATATGTGAAATTTATAAACTCCAATTTCAACTATATTAAACTCACCTCTATTAGTCTCAGTAACAAATTCACAATAAAAATTTCTGCGCAGATTTCTATGCATTGTGTTTTTCGTATCATACTGCTACTGCGAATAGTTTCGCGTTATATAATAAGCAATGATTATATTATCAAATAAAATGTGTTAATAAATAAATAGGCTCATTAATGAATTGAATTAATTTTTTCGGTCCTAAAAGACATATTCATATAAAAACTAACGGCTGTTAACCGGTACAGCCTACCCTATTTTTGAGCTAGGTAAGGATCAAATTTTCTTTGTACAGAATGTGCAAAAATCTTAAACGCCGTACATATTTACTAAATAATCCCGTTTTACTAAAAGAATCATAATGTGAAAGCTTGCCTTGAATGATTCGCTTCTTAAATATCAACCATGGATCTGCAGCCAAGCTTTCAAGCAATACATAACGTTGTAATCCTTTCGAAACACACATATAGGCAAACACCATGATGTACAATGCCCACCAGCGACCGAAAGGTAAAGTCGCGGAACGCTGATGATTCGGTCTGAGGTCCGAATTCTGATCAACGACCCGGCTGCATGGGTAATTTTGTTATTTCCCCGCATGTGTAACGTATATACGAGGCCATATCCTCCACGAAGCCATCTTCCCTTTAGGCACATAGTTGTCGAGTGCTTTGCCATAACTAAATCAAATCAAGTTATAAGATATTTCTCCCACTTTCCTAGCGTCCTTCGTGGTTTAGTGGTTCTGCACGCTGGGTCGGTGTTCCAGAGGTCCGTGGTTCGATGCCCGGCGAAAGCGGTTGCTGTTTTTCATCTTTCCTGCTACCAAAAATATATCTAATGTCTCTACAGTGGAGCCCGAACTAAAAGGGTGTTGGATGAGGATTCTCCACACCCAGGATTTGGCGAATGGGTCCCCTAAAAACACCAGTCGCTCTTCAAAAAGGGGAGTATATGAGGTATTTCTCCCACTTTCCTAGTGTGCCTTCGTGGTGTAGTGGTTCTGCACGCTAGGCCGGTATTCCAGAGGTCCGTGATTCGATTCCCAGCGAAGGCGGTTTTCATTTTTCCTGCTACCAAAAATATACCTAATTATCTCTAAAAAGTCAATTTATGATACACAATAAAGCTATGATTACAATACATATTTGTATTCTGAAAAATAAATATTTTTACGAATTTTGTATATATGTGAATAATTTTAGTGAAATTATGTATAAAATTGTAATATCTCATGTATAATCTAACATGAACGGTCTCAACAATGTGAATCTCGGCCGTAAAGATCAGTTTATAGGGGCAAGTCTAACTAATACTGAAGTAAATGGCTATCTTGCTGAATTAGCAAAATATCGCTAAGCTGGTGATGATTTTAGACTAATTTTTGTCGTAAAATTTCCCCCAAATTTTCAAAAGTCACCATCATTTGACGACACTTCAGTTCGGGATCTGTAAATTTGCTATTGCCCTATTCTTATATGTCACTGTAACTGTATATATATGTCACTGCAACTGTATATGCTTTCCAGCAATTTCGAGAAATCGAAGGTACAGGAATTCTCTTGGCGGCCGGAAAAAAGCTCTGTACGACCGGAGAGAGCATCAGTTCGGACTTATTTAGTTCAGACTGGAATATTGAAGAATCTCTGGGTAAGGTTCGCTATTTAGATGCTCTTTGCGCTGCACATTGTTTAACGTTTTTATCAGTATGAAGTGATAACTGATGATTGTGCTCTATCACACTGAGAACAGCTGTACGAGAACTTGTATGAGAAGTTTCAGAATTGTAAAGTGTCTCTGTTGGGAAAATATTTAACAAGCTATATCATCGGTTCTGTGTGCATTCAATCCATTGCGAACCGGTACAAAAGCCGCAACATAATACCATTAATCTAATGTTTTTAATATATATATATATATTACCAATTTAAAGGCTTTGTAGCTTAAATTCATCATTACGTATTCCATACAATCATACATTAGAGCACATATTTTTAAATGCAACTGTCTGCTGAGACTTCTTTTGAAAATTTTCAGAAATATATTTAAAAATATTTCTAGACGTCATACAGAGTACTAGGAAAATATCTGAAAAAAATGTAAATGCAGGTAAAGAAGACCGAAATAAGCAGATTTTGCAATGGAATGAATGTGCCAAAATAGAGTGTTGTTCTGGTACTGGGCGCTATTGAGCGATAGATAAAAACATTCAACTGAGGTGAATTATCATTCCCTGCGCGAATTTTTAGCAGTATGTATCGCTACATGCACACGAAGCTGGCCGACATGATTTTTATCTCTGAAGTCGCGCTTAAAATGGAACAGCAATCCAGCAATCAAAAAGTGGCACTATGAGTAAATTCTCATCACTTTCTATGAGCAAGCTACTTCTCCGTTTCCATCTGCAGCTGTGCAGATGAAAATTAAGTCGATTAGTTTCACTTTTGTATAATTATGTATATCCCTCAAAAGCCGTTCGGAAAATCACAATTTAAGCCAGCAAAATGCCTTTTTCTCTCTCTCAATAGAAAAATCTGCACAAATGTATGCATGTTTTTTTTGCACTGAAAAGAAAAAAAAAAAAAAAAAAAAAAAAAAAAAAAATCTGAAATGTTTCAGATTTTAAATTACGTCAAAAGGGGCGTTTTTTAACATTTTGTGTGTTACCTTTCTTTATTAAATATCATGTTCCTCGCACTTAAGCCATAAGATCCAGTGCAACAGCAATATCGCAAAATAGTTTTTAAAAACGAGCATATCTTTAGAATTTCCGATACAGAGAGCGCTGGAGATAAAAATGTTTTTTCTGCACAACGTTGCCATTGCTCGCTTTCAAATCCTTGAGTTTGTTAATCAAAAAATTCGTCAAGTTTTAAAAAATAGGAAATCGATCATAAAAACAAATTTTCAAATTTCAAATTTGGTCTTCCACATGCTCATATTCGTTGGAGGATTACGTTATTCAAAATTCGATGACTCTATGTACCGTTGTTTTATCACAATACGAGAAATATACATACATTTATGCAGATTTTTTCATTATTTAATTTCTTCAAATATAATGCAGGACTCTAATATTTTGGTGGCAATAGTTTGAAAAGTGAACCGACATTTATGAGTCCGACGCAAAATGCCAAAAACGAAAACTAATAGTCCTTCGGGATTCAAATCCCTTTGGACTAAAAAAGACACTTAGAGAAACCAAATTTGAATAACATAGTCTTCCACCTGAATACGGGCACCTGTCAGCCCAAATCTTGAATTAGGTTTATTATCTGTTTCATATTTTTTAAACTTTACCTTTGTTGTTCTCCTAGATAAAAAAAAAAAAAAAAAACCTCTACTTACTACAACAGAGCTGAAAATCTCACAGGTAGGAAATTACATATGGCAATCATTTATCACTTTCTCAAAGTCGACATTTTATGAAATTTATTAACGGTTACCCTATAAGCATTCCCACTCTAGTCTTTGCAACAAAAGAGGGATATGAAACACTTTACCATCATTCTCACTTCTCACCATTATTTCTCTCTTCATCATTTCTCATTATTTCATCTGGTTATTATTAATGGTAATCTGGTACCATTGGACTTATTACTAATGAAAACGGAATATAATGAACAATTGTGCTTTAAAAACTATAATTCAGTTTGTTTCTACGTATCTGCGTGAGAAAGTGTTTTCATCCCCGAAATCAACTTAAAGAATGTGCCAATTTAAGACGTAGGTTTAAACGTAGGTTTACCAGCATACATCCAAACACAAAACACAAAACAGCTTTGAAATTTTGTGCCAATTTAAGACGTAGGTTTACCAGCATACATCCAAACACAAAACAGCTTTGAAAGAATTGGCAAGATCGAGGCAAATACATTCTATTACAAAGTCTGTTCATTTTGAACCTTTGTACTTGTCTTTACAATTTTTCAGATAGTTTCCGAGCAGCCTGTAGAAGTACGTTTTGTGGTGTGAAGTTGAAAGAGAGCGCGCAATATTTAAAATTTCATGAAATTATTTCCTATAATATTTGCTATAATTTTTTAGCTTGAAAAATATTGCAGAAATTGCAATTTTCTATAGATAGTTTAATAATAAAGGCTTTTTACCACACATTATTTTTACATACCTTGAGTTGTTCTTGATTTTTTTAATCGGAAAATAAGCAGTTAGAAATTAAACTGAAAATGTCTGAAAACATTCTCAGAGTGCATCGAACAAAATACCGCAGTTTATTTCAGGAAAAACGATACAAATAGAAGTAGATTTAAATAAAACTAAATCATCCTTTCTGATTCTTCCATGTATTTTTTCAGTTCTCATTCGTGTGTAGCTATCATTTAAAATTCTCACTCTGTTTGAACTCAGTCCATCATCCGTAAACCTCCCTTTCAGCTAATGTTATTCATGGACATCCATGAGTGGATAGGTTCTTGCTTAAGAGATTCAATTTCTTAGAGGTCTCTTCAAATCCTAAGAATTTCTCTGGAGATTGATTATTCTTTTTCTTCGTGATAAAGTATCTTGTCCATCAAGGGTCTTTAAAATAAACCTTAGCCGTGAAAAAATTAACCCAGGAATCATATTTAAGTGGTACCTTCCGCGTGACTGAAGATAGTCACGATCGCCACAGACAATGGGTATCAAGTGTCCGCACTCGTCCAGGCGTGGGGTAGGAAGAAGGTGAGTGCGGAAAATCGTTAAAAAACGTCGCGCAAGGAGCCCGTCATAAATTTGCTTTCGCCTGACAAGCTCTGCTCTCATTTACCTGGTACAAAAATCGCACACCAGGAAGGGAGCTCTGCCAAATGATCTTTATCCTCAAGAGGAAGATGATGCTCGGGACATGAAACGCTCATCCACGGATTCTGTGATATTGAGTAAAATTTCCCCTTGGTGATGGACTTTAGTGAGAGTCTCCCGTTGCTCTTCGTTTAAAAGTTCTTGTGTATTTTTGAACAAGCCACCCAGAGGACAATGAAATTGATCACCTTCTGGAGGGTGAGTTCTATTAATATGAATGGATTTCTCGCACAAATTATTTTGCAATATCTCTACAATTATTCTACATTGATTAAGGATTAAGACAGTATTTATGTTCATATGAGAGATATTTAAAGAGAAGTATATTTTTTAAGAGAAAAACGCTTAATTTTAATTCAGCAATAATATTTGTACAGCCTCTCCTCAGAGCTTAATATTATAGCTCGCTTATTCGGCCAAAGGAATGAAATGTAAGCATGAAATTTTAAAAATTTTTATCCTCTTTGAATGGGTCACGATTACATTTACAGATAAATAATTGCTTCTGAAAAATTCATTAAAGATGCTGAAACTGAAGTTACATTTTTTTGCATGTTATATAAATGTGAGAATAATTATTGTTGAAAAATAATTCGTTAACTGAAAAAAAATTTATATAATTTATTCAGAGAAGAAAAAACATTTTAAGAGCATTAGGCAAACCAAATATTGAATTAAAATAGTAAATATCGTTTTTAAAATATTTTGAAATCTTATTATTAATAAGATTAATATATTTTGAAATCTTATTATCATTTTTAATTACGCTTGAGATTTATTTTCCTCTGTGCGTCTATAACATAACTTGAAAAATACTGCTATTTTTAACTTGAATTGATAGTTATACTGTTTAAAAATTGTGCGTTATATCCTTTCTTTGAGTATGAATACTACATTAGACGCCGCTTAATGTCATCGTAGTTAATGTCTTTCATTCGGATACTGTTATCGGATTGCCGAAGTCTTGCCCGTTTATGTACGAAAACATGGAAAATACATCGCATATTGTGATAAAAAATTTGTTCAATGATATCAAAATATTATAGAATGAATTTTTCAACTCGAAGTGAATTCTTCAAATAAGGTCACTATTAATTCTTAAAAAATTTCCAAATGACTGAAAATGTAATCAAGTAAGGGATTAAATCAACAAAATACTGGGATTTTATTTTAGTCTAACTTTTAAAATTTGGCAAAAAAAAATTATTTAGTATGTCGTAGCCTTTTATAAACTTTGTTTTTTCGAGAATGATCAAGCACAAGTTTCTATTCATCAGATAGAAGACGATGACAGATGATGTCTGGCAGGGGCTTTCTGGAAGTCCAAGAATATCATATAATAAACGTTCTAATGTAATCACGTAAGGCATTAAATCAACAAATTGCTTGGATTTTATTTTAATCAACCTTTTAAAAATTAGGGAAAAAAATCTGAAAGTTTCAGATTTTAAATTACGTCCAAAGGAGCGTTTTCTTAACATTTTGTATGTTTAAATATCGTTTTCTTCGCGCTTAAATCATAAAATTCAGTTCAAGAGTAACATCGCAAAATAGTTTTAAATTGAGCATATCTTTAGAATTTCCGATACAGTCTCGCGCCCTGGAGATAAAAATGTTTTTTTCTGTAAAACCTTGATATCGCTCGCTTTGAAATCCTTGAGTTTGTTAATAAAAATTCGTTAAAGTTTTACAAAATATGAAATCGATAATAAAACAAATTCCAAATTTCAAATTCGAGCTTCCAAATGCCCATATTCACAGTAGTATTACGTTATTCAAAATTTCATGGCTCGAGAAACCGTTATTTTATCACAATGCGAAAAACATTTATGCAGATTCTTCATTATTTAATTTCTTCAAATATAATACAGGGCGATAATATTTGATGGAAACAGTTTGAAAAGTGAAACGTATACTCAGAGTGATTCGACGCAAAATCGCCAAACGAAAAACAATAGTCATCAGTGACAAAGCCCTTTTGGATTTATTATATATATTATATATATATATTGGATTATATATATAAAATTTTTTATATATATAAATCCAATAACTTAACTTTTGGATTTATATATATATGTAGTATTTCGTAGCCTTTTATAAACTTTGTTTATTTCGAGAATGATGAAACACAAGTTTCTTTCTGTTCATCAGACAGTAGACGATGACAGATGATATCTGGCAGTGGCTTTCTGGAAGTCGAAGAATGTCATATAATAAAATTTCTGATGAACGTAGAGAGAAAATCTGTGAATTCCTTCTGAGTGTTGATATATGAATATCCATCTAGTGAGGTCCAAGGGTTTCAATCAAATAATTTCCAGAAGTTATAATTTATTTGGATTTTATTTCATGATTAAATTTAATCACAGAAAAATTTATTAAAAACTTAAATCCTAAAAAAATAAGAATATTAATTTTTTAAAAGTAAGTGCCTAAGTAATGGAAACAAATTAAAAATTTTAACCTTTTTAACGTATTTAAATTGTTAGGAACAGAGATAGAGGGACTACTTACAAATTTAGAATGAAGTTTACATCTGTTACACATGCAGTAAATACTTTTAAATTTCATTTAAGTAAATCTTATCATAAGTAACAATAAAGCCATTTAATGTGTAATTTTTGAAAGTGTAATTCAATAAAATTAAGAGGAATTCGATTATTAATAAGTGTAATTGATTAATGTTTTCATTAGCAGCGCTAATACTTTTAATTCTTAGAATTTGATTGACAATGGTGTTAGCAATTATTTTTCAGGAATTAGAATTCAAATTTCTAAAAATTCGGTTTGAAATTCAAGTGTATGAGTTTAATAGTAATACTGTTAAAAAGTCTTACTTTCATGAAAGAGTTTTAATTTCTTTGCGGTTGAGAATTTTAAGGTCAAGATAATCAACTTCTTTATTACTGGAGTTGCTTTTATTAAATTTTTAACACATTGGAGAAATATAAGCAGTTTTAATTGACCCAGAAGTATAAGTGATAAGGTCATCAGTATATCTGAAAGTAAGATTAAATTTTTCTATTTGATCATGATTTTACATAAAATTGAATTCTTGTACAAAAGAAATAGAGTGCAAATCGAAGTTGAATAATTGGTGCCCATTGGAATGCCATCAAGCCGCAGGAAGATTTTTATCTTTAAATTTGATAAAACTATAGAAAAATGAACATTTAAAATAAGTCGTCCATTTCTCAAAATTAAGGTTGTTATTAAGTGATGAAAATAACTCATAAAGTTTGAAAGGACTTTTATTAATTTCTTTTAATGAAAGTAAGGTTTATAAATTTCAAAATCAGAAATATAGCAATTTTTATCGGTTCTGATTTTTTTTATTATTTTTACAGTAATTGTTAGGGGGTAAACTGGAATCATTGAGCAATGTGAAAATAATCTTTTTATTTTTTTTTTCAAAAATAAAATCAATGTTCTTTTTATAATTTTTAGGACACCTGGCAATAAATCTGAATTTTATTGGTGTTTTTCAAAATTTTTGAAGGGCATAAAAATTGGGAAATTTGTTACAATAAGGATTATGAGAATTTTTTGTGTTTTTTGTTGTTGAATATTTTTTTTTAATACAGCGGTTGTTTTCATTGTAAATGGAAGATTTATGCTTTATATTATTACTTTGTTCTCTTTCAGTTAGTTCATAATAAAAGGTTTGTACAATAAATAGTACCCTTCCAATGTGACTCAACACATCCATCAATTATTAGAGGTGTTAAGACCCCATCCATTAATATATTAGATATTTAACCACATTTACATTGTTTTATCCATTTATTGCAAACCAACAAATTTAACAATTACGAATTAAATTAACTTCAGCCTATAGGAACTAAGTTCAGCCCCATTTAGTGAATATGACCAGGAATTACTGATGCGATCGTTAACGCGACTTATTATGTAGAGTGAACTTTAACTACCGCCAGTGCTTTTCCTGTCAACTGGCATATAGTTATATGTAATATTCAGAAATTGTATGCAAGCGTTGAAGTATAATTCGAAACAGGGCATGCTATTTCTGTTAGAATGGTTAATTTTTATGTTACTGTTCGGAAATCGACTGTGTACGGAGTAAAAAAAGCACCAGTATAGCTTGGTAGAAGTTAGTGTATTGCGACACTTATAATTTAGATGAATATTTGAATGTGGCAAAGAACACAAGGACTATCTCTTTAAGGGAAATGGATGCTTTAGAAGAGAACTGTGTAAGGGTATCAGGTTCAATGTTTCTTCTAACCTTCTTCGGAAACATACAAGGACCTGACTAGGAACAGAGAGCTTACTAAAGCTATGTTCACTAATTGTAGTAAGTAGACAGGATACAGACGAAGGGTATACAAAACCCTTTATTTTTTCTTTTATACACATGACTTCCGTACTTCGGAATACAATGACCCTCCACTCGGGGTCTAACGTAAAAGATATCAAAATAAAACTAAACTCTAATTTAACTTTAGAATAATACGTGTAAGATTGGCCTTATAATAACAGGAAGCGTATGTAGCACAGAGACTGTGAACACTACAATACGTTTAATTTATCAAGAGGATTAAAACCTCTGGCCTGGAAGGCAAATAGCAACTGCGTAACTTCTAAGGTAAGCGGCCTGCTTCGAACTCACTGCTTCCTCTCTTCGCTTGGCAAAAAGGCCACACTTAAATACTTGGCGTTCGCCAGACAAACTTTGCATAAAATCCTTCACGCTTATAATTCTGGCCGGAAGTAGAAAATAAGAAGTGATAGTAAAGATTTAAAATAAAATAAACGTTAGTAAAACTTAAGATCCTTACATACTTCCCGCCAGAGTTAATTAGTTTGAAACTGAGGTCTAAAACGACCTTGTTGAAAACTTTTAGCTCTAGAATCTAACGCGAGGCCAACCTTTTACAATCATAACTTCGTTAGAAACTAGAAAATTTAAAAGAAAGAAATTTGTTACAATAGCAGCTCCCAGGATATACAACAATCTTTTTTTTTTTCATCTGTACTGCATCTAAACAGGAGCTTTATTCAATTCTGGTTTCCTTCCAGAGATCTGGAAGGAAAAAAACTAGTTTAATGAAATGTTACACAAATGACATTGCAAATAACATATAGAATATACTTCTCTTAACATTCTTATTTCATTCATGACTATTTTAATTATCTCTCCCCGTGCTCTCTGACATGTGTTGTAAAAGAACACC